TATGTGGGCACACAAACTAATACACGACACCAGACGCACAGCCCTATTTTGGAGCAGTAGAAGTCTTCAAACTGTCTTCCAAGGCAGCCCTACACAGAGCACATTACAGTAATCCAGCTGGGATGTAACCAGTGCATGAGTAACCGTGATCAGGCTCTGTGTATCCAGATGAAGCTGTGGTTGTCATATTTGCTGCAGCTGGAAAGAGGCACTTCTGGCAACCGCATCTACCTGAGACTCCAATGAAAGGTATGGGTCCAGGAGCACTTCCAAGTTGTGGACTCTGTCCTTTAGGGGAGGTGCAAGTTCATCCAAGACAGGATAATGGCAATCTAATCTATCAGACACATCATCAACCAACAGCACTTCCATCTTGCCTGGACTGAGTTTTAGTTCATTGGCCCTCATCCAGTCCATTATCAAACTCAGGCACTGATTCAGCACAGAGATAGCCAGGTTGGAGTCAGTGCAGCGTAGGGCCACAAGGTTGGTGGCCGGTTTGCAGGGGATGCCATATGAGGCGAGACTGAGGGAACTGGGTCTCTTCAGCCTGGAGAAGAGGAGACTCCAGGGGAACTGTTGGCGACATACAGGGGATGTCACATGGAGATGGGTAGAGACCTGTTCTCCCCTGCAGAGGAAGGCAGGACGCGCGCCAACGGAGCAAAGCTCAGGGAACCCAGGTTCCATTTGGATGCCGGGAAGCACTTCCTGACAGTCAGGACCCCGAGGGTGTGGAATGGGCTTCCACGAGAGGTCGTTGAGGTCCCATCAGGGTGGGTGTTCAAGGATAGGCTGGACGTCCACATGGTGGGCATGTCGTGAGCAGAGCCAGCTGGTGCCGGAGGTCAGACTAGATGACCCAGGAGGCCCCTTCTGACTCGCTCTGTTTCTATGTTTCTATGAGATCGCCCTACTTGGATTTGATGTAAATGAGAGCGAGCGAGCTGAGTGTCATCAGCATACTGCTGATACCTCAGCACATGCCTCCTAACTGCCTCTCCCAGAGGTTTCATATAAATGTTGAACAGCATGGGGGATAGTGGAGTCCTGTGGAACCCATGGCGTAAACACAGCAACTATCTCCCAGTACCACCTTCTGGACATGGTCAGCCAAGCAGGAGTGGAACCACTACAAAGCAGTGCCCCTGATTCCCCATCCTGGCCAACCTGTCCAGAAGGACACCATGGTCAATGACGTTGAAAGCCGCTGAGAGGTCTAGACAAATCCACAGGATTGCACTTCCCCATCCTTCTCCTGACAGAGGTCACTGTACAGGAGAACCAAGACAGTCTCCATCCTGAACTCTGGCCTGAAACCCACCTGAAATGCATCCAAATAATCTGCTTCCTCCAAGAGTGTCTGGAGCTGCCTGGTCACCACTCACTCTAATACCTTGCTCAAAAAAGGAAGGTTCCCTAGTCAGTAGCTGACAACCAACTTTGGATCCAGGCTCAGCCTTTCTAAGAGGTCTTACCACAGTCTCCTTTAAGAAGGCTGGCATGACTTCTTCTCTCAAGGAGGGATTAACAGCCTCCTGGACCCAGGAATGAACCCTCTCTTTCGATTTCCCAATGATCCCTGATAGGCAAGGCTCAAGTGGGCAAGTGGTAGGACAAAGTCAGGCACCCTGTCCACATCCTTGGGCTGCAGTAACTGAAACTCATCCAGTGAAATAGGGTTAGAAGGTGGTGCTCTGAACACATTCCTAGATGGAACTGAAACAACTATGCAATCCAACTCATGGCAGATCTGAGCTATTTTTTTCCTCTACATGGATAGCAAATGCATCACAGAGAGTTGCTGAGAGTTCTAGAGTCTCATCTGGCAAACCAGATTGCAGGAGATCCTGAACCACTTGGAATACTTCTGCTGGATGTCACTGTGAAGAAGCAATTCATGTGGCAGAACACTGTTGTCTTGCCAACTTTATTGCCATGAATAGGCTTCGAGTTGTGCTTGGTCAGACTCATCATGAGATTTCCTTGTGTCCTAGTCATCTCCCTTCTCACTTCATTGCCCTAAGCTTCAGTGTATACCATGAAGCCAGCTGGGTTCTTTCAGAGGGCACATAGATGACATAGATCATATCATCTCATGGGGGTTAAAGGTGCAGGACCCTGTGAATATCTCTAGGCCCCCACCCAAACTCACCTTTTTGCAGAGGGATTTCCCTCTTTGGATGGGGGTGGCAGGAAGGTCTCCCTTGGAGGCCTCCCTCTCTCCCCTCACTTTCTATATATCGTGATACTTTGGAGGCCCTCCCTCTCTCTTTATGTTAATAATGATTTTCTGCAATATTTTTTAATTACTGTATTTTTCGCTCTATAAGACGCACCTGACCATAAGACACACCTAGTTTTAGAGGAGGGATCCATGGAAAGCTTCCTGATAATCACAGGCACATTCCCCATCACTTTCCCATGGGCTTCATTAAGACGGGTTGCCATTTGAACACACACACCGACCTGTGATTAACAGCTCTCACCTGCACCAGAGGGGGGAGGGGGCGGAGCAGCCTGCGCCAAGCGCGTGCCGGCCAGGTGGTGCAGGCGGGCCGGCAGCGTCCCGGGCATCGGGCACACACACATTCGCTCTACAAGACGCACAGACATTTCCCCTTACTTTTGAGGGGGAATAAAGTGCATCTTATAGAGCGAAAAATACGGTAATAGGCTTTATGGTAGTTCATACATATGGGTTGTTTGTAACTTGGACGTTCATTAACTCAGGCACTGCCTGTAGTTACACAGTGATGCTCTGAAGTAGGAATGAGTGGGGGACTCAGTTGCTTTGAGCATTGCTTGATGGAGCTTGGATCAGAAAGCTTCCATTCTGATTGGGTGGGAATTTTATCAAGGTGGAAAAGAGTAGTTAGGAAATGGCAGTTATGGAGTTGACAGAGCCTGAAGGAATTGGTTGGTGGATAAAGAAATAGTCTGCTGGTTTATATGTAGTTTTATGGAAGAACTGGGAGAATGCTGAGGAGGAAGTGAAGGCCTGGATACTAAGTTATTCCTTTTCTGAGGGGTAACCTTACATGGCTGGTGAAGATCAGTAGTAGGGAACAGGTGATTTATGCCAAGCCCCCTCTGCCAAAAAAAAAAAAAAAAAGGTTGAGCAAGCAGGCAGTGAAAACCAGATAAACTGTCCAAGCAGTTTGGAAATATGACAGGAGCTCTGGGAGTGAGAGGTAGAAAGAATCCAAGAGCTGGGCCTAGTTTTGAGTATACTCACTGGGGCAGAGGTTTAGGAAATCTGGTCTGAGGCAGGAGTCAGTAAGAACCTTCTTGTCAGTTAAGAAACTTCGACAGGCAACCTCTAACCAGCATGCAGGACGCACAATAGGCATAAGTTACAAGAAACTAGATTCCTAACAGATGTCCTGAAATGGAACAATGACCTGCAATGGCAGTTGTGGGCTCCCCCATTGGAGACATTCAAGCAGCAGTTGGACAGCCATCTGTCAGGAATGCTTTAACTTGGGAGTCCTTCATTAACCAGGGGGTTGGACTCAATGGTCTTATAGGCCCCTTCCAACTCAATGATTCTATGAATTCTTAAGCATGGTCACGAAGCATTTTTTGAAAACCACTAAGTAGAACATAATCACAAGGACATCCACATGGGGTCATAGTTGTTTAGCCACTTTCCTCTTCCAGCAGGTCTTTCTTATCGGTTGTTCTGATTACCGATTACTTTTAGGACTGGCTCCTTAACCTGACTGTTTTAATATTTGGTTTTATTTGTTAATTATGTTTTTTATGATTGGAATTTAAATCTTATGTATTTAAAAGACAATCCAATGTAGGTTTGAAGAAGAAAAAAAAGCCCACAACTCCCAACATTTATCAGCCAGCATAACTAGGAGCTGTAGGGTTTCGTCCTGTTTAAACCTCCACAGTATAACAAATACTTAATTAAAATTTTTTATATAGCTCTCGTTATTGACGCTTTCTTTCCACATGCAGCAAAAGAAGGCGCTGATAACCTCTTATCCAAGAGTTCGCAAAGGCTCTGAAATGGTTCAGCTCTCAAAAAATTAAAAGGAGCCCGGTCCCTCCGAACAAACAGTTCAAGGGGCTGCACAATCGAGTTTCAGCGGCGGCAGGAGAAGCCTCGCATGCCGTGCAAGAGCCACGATCTCCTCCCAGCGCGCGGCACCGCCAATCTCTTCACGTGGCCGACCGCAGTAGCGGGCGGGTCCGGGAGCGTCTACGTCACTTCCGCTTCTGTAGTGGCGTAGGGAATAAGGAGAGGCAGGCAGGAGAGGAAGGAGGTGAAGCGCAGCGGGTGCCGAGGTGAACGTGAGTGCGGTGTTCCTAGCGGCTCTTGCCTTCCCGGGGCTGTTTTCGGGCGGGGAGCAGGGCGCAGGTTTTCCTTCGGCCTGCGCTAGGGCAGGGCGGATGGAGCCGCCATGTTGTGGCTGGAGTGCCCCAACGAGGGGAGGGGGCGTGTGAGCGATGGGGTGGGAGGGTCTTTCCTTTGCTCCCTCCAGAGAGGAGGGGGTGGGGCAGCAAACCCGGTGTGGGGCACACTCGGGCCCGAGCTGAGAGGGGCGGCAGGAGAAGGAGGTGCGGCAACCTCGGGGCTGCCATGTTGGGGAAGGAAGGAAAGGAGGGGACAGAGAAAGCATCCGAGGGAGGGAGAAAATGGCGGCTGGGAACCGCCCCCTCCCCGGCGGCGTAGGGGATTCCCACCTCGCCACCTCTGCCGGCGGCGTGCTGTCCACGCTTCTCCTTCGCTGTTGCCCAAGCCCACCAGCACCTTTTCTCCTCCGTCATGCAATGGCTTCTCACCGTCGTCTGCCATTTTCTGTGGCTTCTTTCTCTCCTGCGGTTTTGAATAACGTTCCCCCTCACCGTCGCTCTTTCTCTCCTGTCAACTTCGCTGATGTTATTGCTTCGGGTCCCTTTCCCTAACCCCACCCCACCCCACCCGCCTTGGTGTCTTCCAGGCGATTCAGTCCGATTCAGAGATCTCTCTCTAGTTTGACATTGCCTTTTTATGGCTTCCTCTCCATTTATCTGTGCCGTGAATTGACAGCTTGCCTGCTGGGTGTCTCGTGGGGCAGGCCTTGGGGTGGTTTTGTGGGAGTTAGGCAGGAATAAGAGGGCCAGTGAGCAGAGTCAAGCTTACACACTGATCTTCCCTTTTCAGTACTGCTGCTTGCTTCATGTTGGTGGGTAGTAGTATGACTGTTAACCAGCTGCTGTGCTCGCCAGTCCTTCCCTGTTTCCGAGTATTATCGCTGCATATTTAAAGTCGTTTTGGTGCCATAGATCCTCTGGCATGCCTGTCCTGTTTCTCTCCAAACCAGTAGAGGGTAGTGGCTAGAGCGCTGGACTGTGACTCAGGTAATCTGAGTTCTTGTCCTCAGCCTTGAAGCTCACTGAATGAGTTTGGGCTAGTCACTGACTCCCAACTTCACCTACCTCACAGAGATTTTATTGTAAGGATAAAATGGATAGTTATGTAAATCATCTTGAGTTCCTTGTAAGAAAAAGATAGGCTATAAATGTGGTAAATAAATCTATGTATACATGTTTAGGATATCTTTCTCATAACCTGCTGGAATCTTGCTGTATTTTGCACTCTGGCATGTTTCCCACTGTTCTCTTTTAATTCTTTACTTCAGGAATGGGGTATCTGTGGTTCCAGATATTGTTGGACAAACTTTTGTCATTTCTTGGCATGTTGTCTAGGGCTGGAAGTCCAGCAATAACTGGACAGCCACAGGTGTGCCATCCCCATTTTACTGCATCATGTAAAGATCTGCATAAGCTCTCTCAATATACCTTAAAGCAGCCTGCTTTTCAAGCCTATGACCTCCATGGCATTCTACATTTCTCCATGTTGTCCTCAAATATCTTTTTTCAACATCCTGTTTTAAGAAGTCATTGTATGCTCTGTGCCTTCAGTAGTGTGGAAAAGTCTTATCAGGAAAATATACTGGTCCATCTGGAGGAAAACCTGATGACCCCAAGAGCAACTGCATCCTCAACATCTACATATGTGCCTTTTCCAGTTCTTTGAGCTAGAATTGTCAGATGAACTTTTTCTCTAGGTAGTGAATGAATAGTTTCTTCAAAGTGTGAAGGAAGTAACAAGAATTCTTGCTAATTAATGCATGTAACATAACAGCTCTCACTCTAAAGCTGACATAGCCAATTAACTGGTTTGTGGCAGGTCAAATACATCAGTTGTGTTGGGTACTTGCAGCTCTTTGAAATTATTATCAAGATTGACAGATCATTTACCAACCTTTTTACTCATCAGGAAAAATTCTCCAAAAGATGTCAGTGGTATTATATACCCTGCTATAACTTTAGAATGTGTGCATAATATTTCAGGTACTCCTGAGTGCATGATAGTGAAGTTCATATTGCTGTCATTATATACTTACTATAAATTCAGGCCACCTATGAAGGGATTAGAGCCTATACCCAACCACTAAGAATAGAGGAATTGGTTGTCTGTCTTTTAAAGGAAAAAACCCGCCACACATTTTTACTTGTTTCTTGCTTGCTGCATTGTTTATGAAGAAACTTGCTTAAAGAAACCTAATGACCTGCTGTTTCTTTATGCAAGGCTTCTTTATCTAACTTGGTCTGCTCTTGTTTGTTCAAACAATCCCATAAGTCCGACTTGTATCAGTCTGTCTTTATAAAAAAATGTTGTGTATACTTTTGGATAAAGGTTGCAATGTTCTACACGGTTGACTTAAAAGATAAAGCAAAGAACTCCTAAATATTAGGTGTTCTGAGTTCCTTATTTAGTCTGACTGTGCTGCAGCTTGAGTCCAATTCCAGGAAAGTCTGGTACTTCATCCTTAAAAATTATTTTGAAACCTGGTTGATCCCAGTGAAACTGCAGAGTAAGTTTTGTTTGGAATGGCAGTATTAAAGGAGTTGCTTTGCATGTACAAACAGCTATTATGCCTTATTGTAGGAAACGTGCTATTGCTGCATTTTGTTCTTTCTTTTTAGGATGCCTAAATCAAAAGAACTTGTTTCTTCAAGCTCATCTGGCAGTGACTCAGACCGGGAAGAAAAATCGGTGATTATTTTATTTAAAACTTTTTAGTCTGCCTTTTTACAGTAGACCAGGGAGGCTCACAACATTGTTAAAACATAAATACCTAAATTAAATCTAACCAATATAGCGATAACAATAAAACAATGGCACAACTTATTCAGCAACTACTATATAGTTGTCACCTCAGCTTATTTACAGGACTTTATAAATGGCTGGCTTTTCATAGGTGCTTAATATATCTATATTATGGGCAAGAGGTTATATTATGGGGGAAGATTCTTTCATAAAGCCACTAATCCTGTTTTTAATATTGCAAGTAAAAGCCCCCCTCACTGTATGATTTCAATTTGAAGTTGTGGAATGTTCTTGGAACCACACTGAATAATTTGACCAGTTTTCAACCTTGTCTTTAGTCATAATCTCCTGAGTCTTTTGGATGTGTGGCCACAAAGAATGCATTTTCACTTATGGCTGCCTAAAGCATAACTTGCCAAATGTAGACTTGATAACAATTGACTTTAAGGCAATGACACTTAACAGGTTTCTTTGGAACTATTTGCTCATTTATGGGTGCATTTATGTCCCTTTGAATATATATGTATTTAGGTTGTTGTTAAACAGAAGACTGTAACTTAAAGATCCCTTTCGTAGGTTAATTTTTTTCCCAGCAAGTCTAGCCAGCAAAACAAGAGGCTCATCCTCACTTTGCTAGCTATTCTTGTAGAAAAAACTGCAGTATTTTCAGGACAGGAATTAGTCCAGTAGCTAATCTAAATGTCATGGTATAGTAAGATGCAGTTTCTCAAATGCTGACATAGTCTGTCTTTTTCTATATTTCAGCATGTGAATCATCTAGTTGCGGTGAGTAAATAGGTTCAGTTTATTTTTTTCAGAGAAGCTAGTTGATCCAAATCATAACTATTGTGAGAGAGTTAAGGTGCAAGCCTCTGCATGTTCAGATACTAAAAGTCCTTTAAATCCCTACTTCCCTGCAAGTGGGCATGCTGGATTTAGAACTTTTCTTGTTTAAATATGTATTGGATTGACTGTTAACTATACTCTTACCTTAGTACTCCTCTGCCCTCTGTGGACACAATTTGAATACTGTAATTGAAATATGCAGTAATAAAAGTAAGACTGTTCATCTTTAGGATCTTCTTCAAAGTGATGAAAAATGGTTTCCCCATGATAATAAAATGTGGCTTTTCTTTTGCTGCTACTGGTAAATAGAGTTCACACATGACATTAAACCATGGTTTAGCACTATGCATAAAGAAAAAACTCCAGATGAAGCCTCATGTTCATGCTCTCCTCTTTCTACTTCCACAGCTAAGAGGAAGGAGGAGTTAAACGGGGAACAGATCTCAGCTTGTTATATGTGAATTATGGTTTAAAATAAGGTCTAATCAATTGTTAAGCAAACCAACACCAAATTCTGGATTACTTTACTGGTGTGTTTAACAAATTATAATTTATTTTAATGCACATTGTTCAACAGGAAGAGGGATAGGCAATTGTGTAGGCCTGGTGCTTTGTGTGTGCTTGTATATGTAACATCAAATGATGGTTTAGTACTTTTTGTTTAGTAGTTTTCTAAGTCTTTCCTCTATTCTGATTTTGGACTACAAGAGAGAGTTTCATTCCTGAATATTATGTTGAGGAAGAGGGAAGACAGTTGACAGGAGCTCATAAGTATTTTTCCAGTAAGTATTTAATTGACTTTTTGATTTTTAAATGTCAAGGAAAAAAGGAAAAAACAGGCAGCACCAGAAAAACCTGTGAAGAAACAGAAGACGGGTGAAAGTTCCAAAGGTGCCGCCTCCTCCAGGCAAAGTAGCAACAGAGATGAGAATATGTTTCAGGTAAATGGTGGCTTTTAAATTGAAGTATTAGTGGTATACTTAGGCAGTGTTGTAGTTGAATTTTATAAGGTACAAGACCTGCAGGGTGCTATCAAGTGCTGTCTTTTTGCCACAGGACTAATCCCCATTGGTGGATTGTTTCCCTTTCCTGTTGCAGCTTCTCACACGTTCCATAAATATGCTTCAGAAGGTTAGGACCCCCTTCCCTGACCCAAGATGACAATGACTGGGTTCATACAGCCTGATAAGCAACCCTGTGTAATTACAGCAGTTGACAGTTTTTACTACGATCTAACAATTAAGTGGCTCCTACTTTATACTGGTTTCCATTACCCCAACTCAGTTCTCCCACTGTTGGCATGTATCCTATCAGCCTTAAGGTGCATTACTCCCTGCTTATGCTTCCTACCTCTTCCTCACTGGTCCATACATAGATGCTGGATGGCTGGAGTGGCTCCTGCAGTTGCCACTCTCTCCAGAGGACAGTGTGGTAATTGCATACCAGGACTTTGGAAATCATGATCTTGGATTGAGAAGACACAACAAGCCATGATAATACAAAGGAACCACAGAACAAACAACTGTTTATCTGGTTTCTAAAGACCAGAGTTACCATGAAGTATCACGACTGCATTCAGATAACACAACAGATCAAGATTAGTAAAAACACATTCCATGGCTGGTTGTGTCATCTGAACCCAACCACTAGTCCTTTCATCATTGGCATGTACCACTGCACCTGAAATTCAGTCTCAGTCTGCATCACTCCCTGCTTATTTCTCTGCCCTCCTCTTCATTGGGCCACATGTCCGTTACTAGGCAGAGATGGATCGTTTAGTCTGGAGTGGCTGGAGAAGTTCCTAGAGTTGTTGCTGTTTCAGGGGATTCCATGGTTCTTGCATTCCAGGACCCTGGAAAACCACAATCCTTGGTTCAGACAACACAAGAATTTGTGTATGTATAGAGAAGCCATAGAACAAATGGTTGTTTTTTACCATGGTATTGAAAGACTACGTTTAACATCCGTGAAATAGTCATGACTGAGTTTGGACAAGATGACAGAATAAGCATAACCCAGAAGCTGGTTGGTACTTTCTCTCCTTAGTTGTATGCAGTGTACTGTACAGCATTGTAATGCACCAGTGGGAGAACATTGGATGCATAGATGCCATGCACATGCTCAGTCAAGAAAATTGCAGTGGAGTCAGCGCTGAGCCTCCTATAGCAACAGTTTGTAGCGTTGCATGCTGGAGCTATTGAACTAAAAGATGCATGTAATTCAGGGGTGCAGAAACCTGAGGTCCAGAATCCTAATCCAGCCCTGTCAAAGCCTCTCAAATGGCAACAGTATTTGTCCTCTGCCCTCAAACACTGTTTGTTTGGTGGTTTTTGTAACTTTTTTCCCAATTCTAGAAAGTTGAAATGCTTCTCCTAAAGGCTAAATTGCTGAGAGCAAGAGTGTTCAAATTGAAATATGCTGGTATTTTTGGACCCTATTTTACTTTGCTGCCTCATGCCCTCAAGAGTTTCTCAGAAATGGAATGTCTGGGGCTGAAAGAGGTTCAGTACTCCTAGAGCAACTGGTTTGGATTTGTCTGGCACAGCTATGAAAAATTTATCTCTGGAGGCATAATTTTGCTTCAGTAAGAAATTAGCTTGCACATATGTCATGTTCCCACAAAGAAAATTATACTGAACTATAGTCTAGAGGGGAGTGTTGTGAAATGTTATAGTGACTAAAAACTTAGGTTTGAATGGTATGTCTTGACTCACTGCCAACTTGGCTGAAGAACATTGGAGCCGTGATTGTGACTGAGCTATGCTTGATAGCTGTGTTTAATATTTGTGGTGCGGTCAAGCATTTGTTCATGCAACATCACCGAGTAGTTGAAGAGTTCTTAAGTTATAAAGGCGGGGGAAAGGGTAGTTATGTAATTAGCAGTTTCATTATTGATACTTGTTACTTTGGACAGTTATTTGGCAATTAGTGCCACACTTAAGTCTTTTGTTAATATTGTAGTTTGCTAGTGGTTCAAATCCTATTTGTTCCTGCTCATAGTTGTGAAAGCCTAAGCTACCTTAACGGACTGTTGTAAGAATTTCTAGGAATGCATAATTCAGGAAAGTGCTATAGAAATAAGTATGAGCAGATCACCTGGTTGCCTTCCAAGCCTTGTGCCCTTAAGTTGCCTCTGCATAATCTCTTGTCATAAGCTTTACTTCCATATGTAATTTCAGAGTAAACTGATTTATTATTATTATTATTATTATATTTCTATGCCGCCCCTTGCCGAAGCCTCGGGGCGGCTTACAACACAATTTAAGCATCTCGAAGCCATAGATGCTAGTAAAGATGGCCCAAAAGGGGGCGCAGTTGGGGAACAGAGTTGGGAAATTGGTTTGCTTCTGGGTAGGCACAATGTGTGTCAAAGATATATGTGATAGCCTGTGGTGAGGCTGGTTCTGGGAATGGGATATTGATATATCCTGGAAAAATAATAGTGGTAGGAAGACTTTGGATGTGTGTAAATTCTAATATAGTTTATCTCCTTGTTTAATGACACAATTTTAATTATGCCTATATTTCAAAAGTTATAATGCAAAGTTTGTATTACAGTATATATTAAATGTTAAGTATTATAGAATGCATTTTATAGGGTTATAGCAAAGTTATGCTGCTGATAGATCCAGGCTATTTTTGACATCGTCTGTGATAGAAATTCTTTTCATCAGCTACTATTCTTTACTAAATCCTACAAAAGTGTGAAGCAGGTTCTTGAATGTAGATTCCAATTATAGGAAGAAGTAAAATGTTAGTACTGGAGACTAAAAATCTTGGCCGAGATATATATATAGCACTCCCACTCATCTTAAGCTATTACAGTTTTCCTTAACTACATTTTAATGACAAGTAAATTAATCAGCAAGGCTACTGAGAGAAGCCTTACATCAGCTATCAACCTTTTTAGTTTTGTTGAAGCAGCAGTTTCCTGCATTAATAGTTTCAGGATGTTTGTTCTCATGTTGGTGTTTCCTGAATGGTAATATCTGAGCTACGCACATTTTAGTTTAGTTTCTCTAAACTAAATATAAGCTTGATCTAGCACATTTTTAAACATTAAGATACTTAAGCCAGGTGCTGCTGCTTTATTCACAGAATCTTATTTCTAAATATTTACATGCTTGGCTTTATGCTTGGCTATTCATAACATGGGTATCTCCTCCGTAGACTTTAATGGAAAATAACATTTTGCTAGCTGCTGATATTGCAGGCTATCACGTCTGCTTCTTACATTGACAGACAGCTTCTAGTACACAAGTTAATTTTAGTGTTAATATTTTCTCTGAACTAATGCAACAATATAACTGTTTTGAAGGCAAAAAATGTCCACTTGCAAATATTTTCTGAAATGCTATTTCTGAATTTGTTCATTCATATTTCTGAATTGTGGGTTCAGTCAATCAGTTGAGGTCTAAGGGCATTTGAGTAGATTTCTTGTACTTTTAAATATTCCTTTTATATTTTTTTTTACCAAGGAAACATAGCTGTTTGAAAACTGCAATCCGCTTAGTTTGGAAATATCTCTTTCCAAATAATTTTGCAGTCTTTTTCATTTTTCTGGCTGTCCTTGTTCGTTACTTGTGAGAGATTATGGGGGAAAGAACCTATAATCTCTAGAGTTACCTACAATGCTGATGTTGTGCATATGAAACTTCAGTAGTATGTGAAGATAGTTGCTACATGTGCTTGGTGAAATAATGATTTAGTTCTCTAATTTATTGGCAGATTGGTAAAATGAGATATGTCAGTGTTCGTGATTTTAAAGGTAAAGTTCTAATTGATATTAGAGAATACTGGATGGATCAAGAAGGTGAAATGAAACCTGGCAGAAAAGGTAACTATTATTTGCGTGGTGATTGTTCAAAGCTTTAGATTGTACTTTATTTGCTATATTGGCTTCTTTGTCTAAATATAAGGCACTGTAGCTAAGTCAGTAGATGCAGTAAGAGAATAGGAGTCACTTTTAGTAGCTGTATAGGAACAGTTTTGATAGGTGCTTCTCTTTCGTTGTTACGATGCTGATACCTGGTATACATATCCAGCAAAAGTAGGTGGTTGGATAGAGTTTACCATTTCAGATTATGTGGGCATAATGTTATTTGAATGGATCCTGATATCAAAAACACCTTGATTTTATACTAAGGGCTAGCCTAGAATGTTTTCTGCTGACTTGAAAGTTTTTGTATCTGTTTTTACTTGTGAGTAGCATTTCACATAAGATACCATAAAAATGTAACTTACTGCACACAAACTAAAGTAGTATGTTTGACTCCTCCAATTTTACCTACTGCGTGTGTATACCAGCCCAGGTGTAACAAAGGGCACCTCAAAATTCCTTCTTCTAAAGGCATAGGAACACTTCTTCACATTGGTCACCCTATTTTTAACCTGCTTTGTGGAAATCGCCCAACCTGAATATAATCAACCCTCTCCCCCATTCCTTGTATTTGGTATGTTTATCATGAAGTTTGATAAAGGTTGATTATGGGAGGTTACTACTTCTCTGGCACCAGTAATTGTGAGGTCCTGATTGAAGATACTAATTTAGAGAGTGAACAGTAGAATTATGCCCATCTTAGTTCTATTCCTCCCCAGGGAAATTATCTGGTTTGATAATTTCATCTGACCCAAATTCTCAAGGTAAGTTCAGAAGCATGACCAGTTTGAGTTTAACTGAATTGGTAATTAAAGGCAATTCAAATCCTAATGAGGTGGAGATGAACTTCAGGTCCTACAGACAAATCCGTAAGCTGTGTCTTTATCTGAGGAAGGCTTTCAGCTGATCTCTGTGCTTTTGGCTTCAGTTAGCCAGAATACAGTAAAACATGCACACTGTGTGCAAATTCGGCACTGAATGGGTAGCCTTACTTGTCATACGTTCTTTCCATTAAGCCGCTTGCATTACTTGCCAAGTTACCATTGGAAGTGGGGGCTGCAGCAATTTGTCATCCATTCAGTCCCTTTCATTCAGTTGGGATGTTGGTAATTGAGGTAACTCTGAAGCAGCCTATCAAAACCCATCCTGGTTTAAGGTAATTGAGGTTTAGGTATACAGCTACTTGTATCTTCTGTGCAAATTCTTTCCAGGCATGTCTAATGGGCTAGAAATATTAACTATAATACTTGAAGTAAATTCTTGAAGCCTGGCTAAGGTGACATCTGTGGATTAATGTCATTAAGCAATATCTTTTGTAGGTTAACATGACGAATTTCCAGGCAGCTTGCATCTGATTTCAAGTAAATACTTGGCTTGGTAAAATTCCAAAAGAAGATAATGTAGCTTGTACTATGTATTTTACAGTTTTAAAAAATGGTGGCAAGGTAAGAAATGAATACTGTGGCCTGAATGAAAACAGCACAATTATATAGACTTGCTTATTTTGCATAATTTCACAAATCTTTGAGAGGTCTGAAGAGATTTGCACTGAGGTTTACTCTCCTACCCCAGGATATCGGACATAGGTTTGCACCCAGTTCTTACTAAGTTGTGCATTGCACATTTCTTGTGCTTAAGTTAAATAGGAAGCTTGTGGCTGCCTCAATACTGAACTCTACAGCCAATGCCAAACTCTGTGGTGGCGTGAAATGACCAGACTTGTTATGATATTTAAGGATTTGTTTTGGTTTATTTTAGGTATCTCTCTAAATCCAGAACAATGGAGCCAGCTGAAGGAACAGATTACTGATATTGATGAAGCAGTAAGAAAACTGTAAAGACAAGCCATACACAAATTCTACTGTTATAGGTTTAAGTAGTCTTTTTACATTGGCATTCATTTTCTAAACTATTTGTTTTCCAAGCTATTGTATATTTGGATTGCAAAACAATTTGTAAGATGAACGCTTTTTTTAATGTGCATTAAAAGTGTATACTGAGTGAAGTTACAAATGTGTATACTTTTATTAAACAGGTGTTATGTTCTCACATCATGATGTAAAATAAAACACATTCACTTAATACTCTTGAATAAGATATACTTGTTGGTAGCCTTCTTGATTTGAAAAAAAAAATTCTAAGGGAAAATTCTTCCTTTAACAAACACAACTATAGTCGGTGTTGGACTTTTCTGGTAGTGTCTTCTTGGACTACATGTGTACTAAATCACAGCTTTCTGTCTGTTGTGGAAGTACTCAAAATAAGTTCTCCATTAAGAATCCAACAGCGAGGATGAATCAATTTTACAAACATATGACCTGATTGCTCCCAGTGAAGAGCAGACTACAAGTTAATCATATCTTAAATTTACTGGGATACTAAATATGGTTTAATGTAAGACACAACACTTTGCAGGTTCAAGCAGAAAGAATTATAACTTCCAGCAAGTATAACTGGGTGTTATAGAAACAGCATGAGTCAGAAGGGGTCTCCCGGGCCATCTAGTCTGACCTCCGGCACCAGCCGGCTCCGCTCACATGCCCACCATGTGGACGTTCAGCCTATCCTTGAACACCCGCACCGATGGGGCCTCAACCACCTCCCGTGGAAGCCCATTCCACACCCTCGGGGTCTTGACTGTCAGGAAGTGCTTCCTGGCAACCAAATGGAACCTTGGCTCCCTGAGCTTTGCTCTGTTGGAGCGCGTCTTGCCTTCCTCTGCAGGGGAGAACAGGTCTCTACCCATCTCTGTGTGACATCCCCTCACATACCTGTATGTTGCCAACATATCTCCTCTGAGTCTTCTCTTCTCCAGGCTGAAGAGACCAAGTTCCCTCAGTCTTGCCTCATATGGCATCCCCTGCAAACCTGCCACCAATCTTGTGGCCCTACGCTGCACTGACTCCAACCTGGCTATATCCTTTCTGTAATAAGGGGCCCAAAACTGAGCACAATACTCCAGTTGCGGGTGCACCAGAGTCGTATAGAGTGGTAGTAATACCTCTCTTATCTAGAAGCCACACTTCTGGCTATGCAACCAAGGGTGGTGTTCACCCTCTTGACCACCGCATCACACTGCTGACTCATGTTTAGCCTGCAGTCAACCAGTACCCCGAGGTCCCTTTCACAAGTGCTGCTCTCCAGCCCCTTGTCACCTAACCTGTACTTATGACACCCATTCCTACGCCCCAAGTGCAAGACCTTGCACTTATCCACATTGAACGCCATCCTGTTGTCTCCTGCCCACTTCCATAGTCTGTCCAGATCCTTTTGGATCTGGAGTACCTGCTCCTCAGTTGTAGCCACTGCTCCAGTTTTAGTGTCGTCTGCGAATTTGATCAGCAGACTGTTCACCCCTTCTTCCATGTCGTTAATGAAAAGATTAAACAGCATCACCCCAGGACAGAGCCCTGGGGGACCCCGCTTGTCATTGGCCACCATCCCGATGATTCCCCGCTAATGGTTACCTTCTGCTTTCGGTCAGTCAACCATGCCCTAATCCACCGGACAGTGCTTTGGTGTATCCCAAAACTCCTCAGTTTCTCCACCAGGATATCATGGGGCACTTTGTCAAAGGCCTTGCTGAAATCCAGGTATACCACATCCACTGCATCCCCTCCATCTGCCATCTCGAAACCTTGTCATAGAATTCCACAAGGTTTGTCTGGCAGGACCTGTTTTTGTGGAAGCCGTGTTGTGTGGCTGTCAGCCTCCCTTCCCTATCTAGCATCACTAGATCTCTATTATGAGCCTTTCCATTGTTTTTCCTACAATGGACGTAAGGCTAACAGGTCTATAATTCCCCATGTCCCTTCCACTACCCTTTTTGAAAACTGGGATCACTGATGCCACCCTCCAGTCCTCTGGAACTTCACCCGTTCTCCACGAGGTCTCAAAAATGGAGGCCAGCGGGCGTGAGAGAACCCCTGCCAACTCTCTAAGTACTCTCGGGTGTAACCCGTCAGGGCCTGGCACCTTTGTAATGTCCAATGCCCTGAGGAGCCCCTCAACTTCAAGTGGGGGTGACTCTAATCTGTGCCCCTAAGTCCCCAGCCTCATCTAATCTCTTGTGTGGATATCCCCCATCCTGCTTTGGGGAGAACACAAAATAGTCATTTAGCATCTGTGCCTGTTCCCTCAGATCAGTCACTGGATCACCTTCCTCCTAATTTAGTGGTCCCACCACTTGTCTTCCCTTCCTCTTCCTATTTACATGCTGGAAGAAGCCCTTTTTGTTGCTCTTGATATTCTTGTCAAGTCTCAGCTCGTAATCAGCCTTAGCCTTGCAAAGAATCCTTCTGCAATGGGCCTCCTCCTCCCGATATACCCTTTTGTCTATTTGCCCCAGTACCCATTTCCTATGGAGGTTCCTCTTTAATCCCTCTAACCACCTCCTTTCGCATCCATGGCGGTGCTCTCCTCCTCCTCCCCACCTTACTGACTAGAGGTATTGTCAAGGCTTGCACCTCCAAAATCTCCCTTTTGAGTGCCATCCACCCCTCCTCAACTCGCTTACCTTCCAGTAACCTATCCCAGGAGACTTTCCCCAGTCTGGCCTTAAGTTGGCCAAAGTTGGCCCTCTTGAAGTCCCAGCTTCTAGTGCTCGACCTGCTGCACGTCCCCAGTCCCCTGATCTCAAAGCAAAGGATGGAGTGATCACTCGCATTCAGAGCTCCCCTAATCTGTACTTCATCTATCAGCTCCTCTCTATTGGTCAAGACCAAATCAAGGATGTTCCCCCCCACTCGTCGCCTCTCAGACCCTCTGTGTGAAAAACCTTCCCTCTATAGCTTCTAGGAAGCGACGTGACCTGGCTGTCACCACCGAGTGAGTCTCCCAAGTAATATCTGGGAGACTGAAAT